CATAACTCTATCTCCGATATGGCAGGTCGGACAGACCAAGAACGGGGGTTTCAATTAATGAACCGTCCGACCTGCCCCCTCGTAGAGCTCCTCCTACTGGGAATCAGGCGGCCGGTGCCAAAGATAAGGGCAAACGGCCACTTGAAGACATTATCTCTCCCCGAGGCGACCATAGTTCTAGGAGCCGCAGCTCAGCGGAGGCAGCCGACGTAGACAGAGTGCTATCTTCCGAGTTTGGGAGCGCTCCTCAGCGAGAGGAGGATGAAGTTGAGAATACGGCCGAGGGTGGAGCGGCGGCCGTAGAGGGCAAAGAGGCGGCTGAGGAGGATGTTTCCAACATTGACAACTTCAAGGATCCGTATGCCTGCACGGTGGGTAGCACAGCCTTGGGCTACCTAAACTACAAATTTGAGGATTACAAGGCATTCCTCCACCTTGGGGAGGGATTCGAGATACAGCCCCCACTGAAGTCCCGCGTCGTGGCCGCTTGGGAAGAAGCGAGGCCCCGCCAAAGATCCTTTAGCGTCTACAGGGCGGCCTTAGACGTCGGACTGCGCTTCCCCCTCCATCCTTTCGTCCGCACAATCTTGGACGAGTATGAAATAGCCCTCTTCCAGCTGATGCCAAACAACTGGTTGAACATTTTTGGGTACTTGGTGACGTGCATCTGCAAAGGCTTCAAGCCAGACTTTGCAGTTTTCTGTGAGATGCACTCACTAACTAAGATGGACGCGGACACGGACGGCTGATTCATCTTGAGCACCAGTAGAGACTATATGATGGTGGTGGACCGTGTCTCTAAGTGGCATGACTGGAAGCACCGATTCTACCGCATCAAAACTGTACGTTGTATTTAACTTGCGGATTAATCAGTTCAATGCTGAGCCAATTCAACTTGGACGCGGGGACCTCAAGCCTGATAAGCCACCCGTCCACCCCAGCCAGGAGTACCAGCTTGAATATTTTAAAGTCAAGCGGGTGAGAAGGGGCGGCAAAACTGAGCGCGTTCCAAGTAACTGGGTCCCTTTATCCAGCTGGCTGCGGAATCCCACATTTATGTCCGCCTATGGCCTGTACAAGAAACTGCCCCAAGGTGGACGCATGGACACATATTCTTACACATACGCAGATTATCTGAACTTGAAGAACTTTCTAACTTTTTCCTTCTCTTTCAGCTGAGGCGTACAAGATGCTTGACCCAGAGCAGAAAGGGTAGGTCAACATGGCCGAGATTGACTTGGCTCCGTACAAGGCTCGCCAGAAGCTGTACGAGCAAACTAAAGGAGTAAGTAAACCCATTTGGATTTCTTCCTCTCGTCTATGTATGTATTACGGAAGAAATCTTCTTCCTAACTTGGCACGACCTATCAATTATATTATCTTGCTTTCTTTTTACTAACTTTTGTCTCTACAGCTGGCCACTCCAACCCCCCGGTCCAAACAGAACCAGTCGTCCCCTGCGTCCAAGACGGACCAGGACGGCAAGGCGTCTAAACAAAGGAAGACGGTCGCGTCCAAGACCACTTCCACTTCTGCGGCTAAGACGACGTCGCGGACTGCCTCCAAGCAGTCCAAAGGAGAACAACCCCGGCTGAGTGATAGCGGGGCCTCCAATTCCATAGATCTGGCCGCCTCGCCGGGTCATGTTAGGTCCGAGAGATCAGATGATGGGGGTAAGTCGACCCCGGCAAAACCGATCGGGCCTGAAGTGACTCCGCCCGTCCAAAGAGTCATTGAATCTGATCGGCTTGATGCCAGTCAGTCGGCCGGCGATCAGCCTGACTGGACGGGGGAAGAGGGTGACGAGCCTGCGCCGCCCCCGCCATTCACTTTTAACCTTCCTACCCCTCTAAGCTTCTCTGATTGTCAGTCCGAGTGATTTTGGATTTTATACTTCATATTTTTTTTTTACTGAGCTTAAATTAAACTCTTTGCGTCCGACTACAGACATTGCAGAGGAGCTACACATGAAGACGCCCGGCCAGTCCCTTACTGGGGCGGACAGAAAGGCTATGCGGGAAGCCATGGCCCGGGCCGTCCCTGCTGAGCAGCGAGATAAGTTGCGGGGGATACATGAGGGCTTCCTCGGCCCCATGATCAATTGCAGCGCTGAGGTAACTTTTCCCCTCAAATGCACTTACTCAATTTTTCACTCTTACTTTGCTAACACATTTACCCTGTTTTTCTTGTGCGCAGCTTTTCTTACGGCTGACCGCCTTCCTTGAATGGAAGGAAAAAGAAAACGAAAAGCTGAAGCGCGCCTGGGAAAACGTCCAGAAGGCCCAGGATGCTGTTACTGGGGAAGTGGCCGTCCAGCGCCGATATTTTGATACCCAGTTCAATGCGCTGTCCGACAAGGCAGCGCGACAGGCGGAGGATCTGGTGAAACTGGGTAAGGCCCTCGAACAAGAGGCCTTAGCCAGGGACACTATGAGGCAGGAGAGGGATCGGGCCCTCTTGGACGGCCAACGCTGGAAGGAGGGATTTGAGGCTTTAGAGAAGCTCAGAAGTGAGGTGTCCTTGGCCCAGAAGCATTTGAAAGTATCCCTAGACGAGGCGGACGCACACTTAGGGCCGAGGTGGAGACCTTGAAGAAGTCTGTTGAGGACTTGACTCTACAGTTTAAGACGAGGTCGTCCGTATTGAGCAAAACGCTGAGGATAGGCTGAAGAGTCACTTCTTCGAGGCGTTCGAGCTCCTGGTGGACGATGGGGAGGCCGCCTATTTTCAAGAGCGCTTCACTAAGCGCCTCAACTTTGTCTGCCTCAGGGAAGAAGCTAAGAAGGCTGGACAGCCTTCTCCAGAGCTGGACAGCCTTCTCCAGAGCTGGACAGCCTTCTCCAGAGCTGGATGAGGAAAATGAAGTGGCGGCCGGCCATGATGGTGAAGCAGAGAGCAAAGAGGTGCCAGCTGAGGACGCTTCTCTTGCAGCTTCTCAGGATCCCATCCCAATCCATGATTCAGCTTCAGCCCCGACCGCCCCTTGGCTTTCAGCTTTTTCTGTCTTTAAGCTCTATTTATGTATAGTTTTCTTGACTTTTTCAACCGCCTTTTCGAGCGGTTTTTATGTAAGATATTTTACCGCCTTTTGAGCGGTCCTTTTATTAATTCAGCTTTCAGGTTTTGCTTCATACTTTGCAAATTTTGCACTTAAGTTTTTGCATTTTCGTACGCATAGTTTTTCATGTTTGAGCGATTTTATGTACGCGTATTTTTGTATCTTCGTACAATTGTGGGGTATGCCCCTTTATTCGGCGTTCACCTAGTCCATATTTTGGGTGGTTTGATTGACTTGGTAGAGTTTATACCCTAGATGGTATGACTTCTAACAAGTTAATCAAATCATAATAATGATTGCCCTTGGACTAGGTCGTACGCCGAATCAACACATTAATTGGCCGTTCAATCAGCTTTATGTGAGTTTGTCCGTTGAAACTATTGCTCGGACACACTTAGAAAATTCCAAGTATGATCTCAACTTAAAATTTTCATGTTCGGCTGGGCTGGAATGCCTAGGTATACCCTTGCCCCATTATATGGGTTTCACAGGGTACCTTACCTTTTTCGTCCGCCTTAATTAAGGGCGGACGTATTCACATGACTTGGGATCAAGTTGCCTGTTCTTATTTTATTTAATTTACTTTTGTTCTGCGACGGGGTTGTTATGTTGCAAGCAACCTACTCGCAAATTTCACGCGGCCTATCCGTATAAGTTATGATTGTGCAAATAAGCATAAATTAAATGGAAAAATAATTATAACAATGTTTGACTTTTCATTAATTTGTCAAAATTACATTGTTGTGGCCGTACGACTTACATTGCTCAGTCAACAGACCTAGCTGTATACACAGCTTTTGGCTAAGTACTTAAACATAATATTTCTTCAGATTGTCAGTGTTCCATGTACGCGGGATGGGTCGGCCATTCATGGCTTCAAGACGGTAAGTCCCATCTCGGACCTCTTCCCTGACTCGATACGGCCCCTCCTAATTTGGAGTCAGCTTCCCATCTTCATTTGCTCGTCCCACAGCCTCCATCTTTCTTAGGACCAGGTCTCCCAACTTTATCGGCCGCTTCGACACTCGGCGATTGTACGCCCTTGTCATCCGTAGACGATAGATTTCGTGTCTAAGTGTCGCGTTGCCCCTAGCTTCAGGAAGGAAATCTAGGGCGGTCTTCATGGCTTCCCAATTGGCCGCTTCATCATATAGCATCACCCTAAGGGTGGGCTCGTACATTTCAATTGGAAGGACTGCCTCGGCACCATAGACTAAGAAGAAGGGAGTTTCTCCTGTGGAACTCTTGGCCGTGGTTCGTATGGACCACAACACATTGACTTACTCATCAGCCCATAAGCCGCCTGCTCTTTCAAGCTTGCGTTTAATTCCATTGGAGATCAATTTGTTGTATGCCTCTACATGACCATTTGCTTGTGGACGGCCGACTGAAGCAAAGCAGTGAGCTATGCCTTGGTCTTCCAACCATTCTTTGATTTGAGGCGTTTCGAACTGGGGTCCGTTGTTAAACACCATAGACTGTGGAACGCCAAAGCGTGTAATGATATTCTTCCATATGAAAGCGGAAACATCAATCCATTTGATGCCCCGGACGGCTTCGGCCTCTACCCATTTTGTGAAGTAGTCTACTGCTACAAACACATACCGCCTCTAGCCGGACGCTGGTGTGTTTACGGTCTTAAAATGTCCATCCCCCATTTGGCAAAGGGGAGCGGACTACTGATGGCCGAAAGACTGTTGGCAGGTCAGTGAATTAATGTTGCAAACCTCTGGCACTTGTCACACTTCTTTACCATTTACATTGCATCCGATTTTAAGCTCGGCCAGTAGTAACCCAGGCGGGCAGCCTTTTCAGCCAAAGCTCGTCCTCCAATGTGAGAGCCGCACTGCCCATGGTGAAGATTATCTAAGACATCATGCCCTCTCTCAAGAGTGATGCATTTCAGGTACGACTTTACAAATTCCTTTTTGAACAACTCTCCTTACTTAATTTCGAACCAGGCTGCTCTCTTTTTCATCAACCAGCTCTCTTTAGGATCGGCCGGGAGTAATCCGTCCTTTAGGTAAGATATGATCCCGTCCATCCAAGTGGAGCTTCTATCAATGGCGTGTACTGGTTTAGCGTCAATACTCCTCTTTTCTTTCACTTCCCAAAACACTGACCTGGGAGTATCACATGATGCTAACTTAGAGAGGGCGTCCACTTGATGATTGGACGAACGAGGGACCTGCTGTAGAGTAAAATGATCTAGGCTCTTAGCCTCCTCTTTTACAATCTTCAAGTACTTTATCATGGCCGGCTCCCTCGCCTCGAAGTCTCCATTCACCTGGCCGACTACAAGTAAGGAGTCCGAGCATACATCAATTTTTGTCGCTCTTGCCGCCTTACACATTCTTAGGCCGACCAAGAGGGCTTCGTACTCGACCTCATTATTAGAGGCTTGAAACTGAAATCTCAGGGCGTACTCAAACTTATCTCCCTCGGGAGACTGGCATATAACATCTGCACCGCAACCAGTAGCTATCGCGCTACCATCCACGAACACTTTCCAGATTTGATCTCTGGCCGTCTGAAGATCCGACCGAGTCATTTCAGCCAAAAAATCAGCAAAGGCTCGCCCCTTGATTGCTTTTCTTGGCTCAAATGTAATATCCAAGCCTCTCATTTCCAAGGCCCATTTAAGCATACGGCCGCTTGCCTCTAGAGTTGTAAATGGCTTCTTCAAAGGTTGGTCTGTGTAGACCATAATTGAATGTGCCAAGAAGTATGGCCGCATCTTTTTTGATGCCATATATAATGCCAAGCCAAATTTTTCAATGGGGGGATACCTTCGCTCGGCGTTATGTAGAACGTGGCTAATAAAGTAGACAGGGATCTGGCGGCCGTCCCGTTCAGCAAGTAGGACGGCACTTAGGGAGTGTTCAGAGATGGCAAGATAGATGAATAGCTTCTCTCTCTTAAGTGGACTGACAGGCTGAGGCAATATATGTAGATGGCCTTTTAGCTGTACGAATGCTTCCTCGGCCTCCTCTGTCCACTCAAACATGGCTTTCTTTTTTATGGTTTGAAAGAAATAACGACACTTATCCCCTGATCTTGACAGAAATCTACCAAGTGCTGCTAAACAGCCGGTCAATCTTTGAACTTCTTTAATTGTCCTTGGTGACTTCATGTCCATGACAGCTTGGATTTTTTCAGGGTTGGCCTCAATTCCACGTTGATCAATTAAAAATCCGAGAAAATTACCGGACTCAACACCAAAGACACATTTCTTTGGATTTAACATCATCTTATGCCGCCTGCGTTCGGTGAAAGTTTCTCGTAGATCCTTCAAATGGTCGGTTGGCTCTTTTGACTTGACAATCATGTCATCAATGTACGCCTCCATATTCCGGCCGAGCTGATCTCTGAAGACTGTATTAACAAGTCGTTGAAAGGTGGCTGGGGAATTCTTAAGTCCGAATGGCATAACTTTGTAACAATACAACCCCTGCTCAGTCACGAACGCTGTTTTCTCCTGGTCTTCTTCCCATAATGGAATTTGATGGAATCCGGAGTATGCGTCCATAAAACTCATCAGGGCATGCCCGGCCATCGAATCAACCAGCCGGTCGATTTTGGGCAAGGGAAAGCTATCCTTAGGGCATGCCTTGTTTAGATCGGTGTAATCCACACACATTCTCCAAGTTCCATTCGGCTTCTTCACAAGGACCACATTGGCCACCCATTCTGGGTAATGACATTGCCGAATGAAACCAGCGTCCAGAAGCTTCTTGACTTCTGCTGCGGCCGCCTGATTCCTCTCTTCTCCATGATTCCTTTTTCTTCTGGCGGACAGGTTTAACGGCCGGGTTTACAACCAATTTATGCACGGCCAGGTCAGGGCTTATACCTGGCATCTCACCGACATCAAATGCGAATACATCCTTGAACTCTCTCAATAATTTAATTAACTCATCGCCAAGCACACCCAAAGCTATAGTGCCCACACTAACCGTCCGACCTGGTTGATCGGGGTCAAGCACTATATCCTGGTGACTGCCGGCCGGCTGGGGTCGTAACTCTTCTGGCCGACCGACAGCCATTAGCTGCTATGCTTGCTCTATCTTGGCCGCCTTACGCTTCTGGCCGACCTAGTGTGTTGGGAGTGAGGTTCCTTCTTCTTTCGGCTCGGACGGTTTTGGTCCGCGCGCTGTAGACTTAACCGCCAACTGATTGCATTCCTTTGCCATCTTCTGACTTCCTTGGATTATACCTATTTTCCCGTCCGTCTTTTCAAACTTTAGCAGCATTAGGTGAGGCACAATGACTGCTTTTGCTGCATTCAGTGTAGGACGGCCGAGTATGACATTATATCCAGTCAGCTCTTTCACGACCAAGAAGCGGACAACCATATCTCTTCCTTCCTCTTTTTGCCCGAATCGAACAGGTAAGTCTATCCGCCCCACTGGGTGGATGACATTCCCCCCAAATCCAACCAACGGGTGAGTGATGTCTTGGAGAGCATCCTCTGGGAAGCTTAGATTCTTCAAGGCGGCCAGGCTGATGATATCAGCCGCGCTACCCGTGTCAATCAATATCCGTCCGACCTTCAAATTGGCTATCTTCATAATGAATACCATGGGATCATTGTGCAAGGCTTTGACCTCCCCCCGATCGGCCTCACTGATGATTACTTCGGGGAAGGGTTCACCCTTCACTAATTCCATCTGCATCACCTTTCCTAGGTTCCGGGCGTCCTGCTTGATCCCTTTCATAATGGGACCGCCTGAGGCAAATCCTCCTGATATCACGGCCACAAAGCCTGAGTCAGTGTTGTTGCCATCATCTTCCTTATCTTTGTTCTTATCATTCTTCTGTCTTTGCTCGGACGTGTTCTTTGTCCGTGTGTAAGTGAATTTAGACTTCATCACATACGAATTCAGCATGCCCTTCTCGGCCAGCTTGTCCAGCAATCTCTTCAAGTTAATGCAATCGTTCGTGTCATGTCCCACATCCTTGTGGTAATGGAAATACTTGTTCTTGTTCCTATACTGAGCCAGGCCTCTCAGCGGCTGTGGTTTCTCAAATTCAAACTTATCCTTGATTTCCATCAGGATAGAATAGCAATCCTTGTTGAACTCATACTGAGGCTCAAACGCCTTGACCTTCTTGGACTTCTGTGGCTGGACATCAGCCACCTAGACTTCCTTTCTCTTTTTTCTTTCTTTCTTTTAGCCGGCCAAATCTTGCTGAGAAGGTTTTTTCTCAGCCCCCTTGGCCGACGCTTCTGTTTTTGTGAGCGAACAAAAGTCCGTCGCCTCAATATAAGCTTTGGCTTCCCACAGAACACATGCGTATGTCCGAATCTTTTTCCTTACCAAGTCAAATTTAAAACCATTGTGCCTTAATCCCCGGAGAAATTCAGAGTAAGCCATTTCGTGCGGCAAATTATGAATTTGGGCTTTTTCTTGGTTTAATCGCTGGACGTACGAGCGTAAGCCCTCATTTTTTTCTTGGACGATTGTCGCCAAGTTAAGGCTAGTCTTTTGAGGCGGTTTGTTGTATGAAAAATTTCCCACGAACAACAAACTTAGAGTAGTAAAACAGTTGATACATCCGGCCGGCAAACTGTTGAACCAATCCTGCGCCACACCTTTCAGAGTGGCCGGGAAACATTTGCACCAAGTAGCGTCATCTACGCTTTGCAAGTACATCAGGTTCCTGTACGAGGTGATGTGCTCTTCTGGGTTGCCCGTGCCATCATAGGCTCCCACAAGTACACTCTTCACCTTTGGTGGCTGAGGGGCATTTAAGATATCTTGCGAAAACGGGGGCGGCTTATCTCCTAGAGTAAGTAGGCGCATCTGCCAATCGATGGGTTGCGGTTGCACGGACGGTCCAGCTAGATAAGGAGCCTGTCCGTACACCTGCCCATATAGCCAATATTGCCCGTATGCCTGGGGGTTCGGCTGCATCAAGCCATTGAACCCCTGAGGAGGCTGATATTGCAGTGATTGGGCTGGAATAGGAGTTGGAGCATGGAAGACTGGAATAGGAGTTGGGGTGCGGACTGCCTGACTTCCATTGGAGATGGCCGTGTTGGTATGTTGGGAAAGAGAATGATGTGAAAAATCATCCGGCATAGTTGGGGTTGAGGTCGTGTCCGAGTAGGCGACGCGTTCCCGCTGCTTCTGCCGAAGGTAATATCTTGCGTCCTTCCATCGTCTGGACGGCTCAAGCTCCTCTCTTCAAGGCTGCCTACCCCTCCCCCCAGCCGACTGCGTTTTTGCCAGCAAGTCAAAGAAATTAGTTCGCGGTACTCTCGGGGACCTTCCAGTCGGCCTTCTGAAAGGTGTGTTTCCAGCGTCCGTTGCATGGACTGCTTTGCTGTGTGTCTTCCTTGGAGCCTTCTGTTCCTCTCTCCTAGGCGGATGCCTAGAGGTAGAGGCTCCATTGTTTTCAATTTCTTTCCTGAGTTTGTTAAGCGCGACCTTAAGAGAGGTTGCGGTAACAGGAGGGTCATCACCTTCTTCAAATGTGGCTATCAGAGAATCGCTAGTACGGATCGTAGGGATTAAATCCTCTACATTTCCATCCTCGCCTGGATTAGGTGTCTGACCGTCTATCGCCATAACGTACGAGTATCCCCACAGACGGCGCCAAATGTTTCGGGTATTTTTTGGATTTCCTGAGATACTGGTCACGCTCTTCTGGCAACGAGTCAGTCCAACCTGCAAAATAACGAATATTCCGATCAACGGAATATTCGCCTCCGACGATCAAGTCAGTGATCAGAACGGAAAAGGCTAGAGAGAGAAAGTAGAGAGAAGTTGGAGCTATTTAATGCTCTGTTGTTTTTAGATGTCTGAATCCCTCCCCATCATAAATGATTGGGGTATTTATAGGGGTGGGACTCGTGCCCCTCTCTAGGGTTTATATCCTAGATTTGCGTGACGTGATTAGCTGCGCAATCAGCAAATGCCACGTGCCACTCTGGGGGCGCCGTTTTGCGGCTTTCATTGATATCTCTCGGGATTTGGGCCCTGACGTTGTTAGGGCTTTTTGGCGTGCTGATTTAAAGAGGGAAAACATTGCCTAAACACATGGCATCTTCCCGTGGTGACACGTGTCACCCTATAACTGGGCCACGTGTCACTATGGGATTGGCCTGAGACCTTAAGGACTCTGGATTGCGTGGCATCTTCCAGTGGTGACACGTGTCACCCTATAACTGGGCCACGTGTCACTATGGGATTGGTCCACGTATACGAGGTATTTTTACCCTCAACACTATGTGTTTTTTCCTAACCGTTTGTTTGACTTGTGATTAAGCCTAAATAAACTAATTAATGACTAAAGGACTTTTTTAAAATTAATTAATTAATTAATTTGAGCTAATAAATATGTCTAAAATCGAGTTATAGTCCCTTTAAGTCAACCCGGATTTTTATTCCTGTATACTGCACAAACGTTAACTTGTTTTGGTCATAGCCAGAGTTATAGGAAGAAATACGAGTCGTAGAACCTTTGGATCCGTAGCCCCGAGTTTTATCTTTAATTTGGCGTTGGTTTCATCCCAATCAGAGTCACAGATCAAAAGTTATGACTAAAATACCACAGCCTGTCAGGTTTAATACATATACGCGAGGTCTTAACTTAGTCTTTGTTCGAGTCTAGTCACATAGTCTAGCTACATGGTCATGAAAAGAGTTTTAACATGTCACCTACACTCACTAGTATTAGCACACACACTTTGATTATATGTCACCATGACCATGTCTTAGGTTCATGCATGAGTCAGTTTTTTCCGTCATTTGAGTTGGGGGTACATTTTATTCCTAATTTTCCACATCTCTCCATCTACATGCTTTCTCCATATCACCCCTGTTGAATAAAGTTTGAGTCAAACAGTTAACAATGAATATCCCCAAATTCCTTTTCCATAGTACTTGGTCGAGGAGAGAAGGGCGATTAATCAAGGAGAACCTCTTTATTCAAGTCTTACTTTTTGATAAACCGATTAGTCAAAAGAGGAAGGCTAAAAAGATAATGGAAACTCAAGAGGAAGGTAATGAACTTAAGATTCAATTGACTGACGTAACTGAGGTGTTAAAGGCTTTAACCCTCAAAATTGATGACCCTGTGAAGCAACAACAAATGAACCTCATGCAAGAAAGCTTGAGAAAGCTATCTAGT